CTCAGCTGCACCCTGTTACCCTGCTTTTTAAAAGTGTTTTCTTTTATAGTTCTTTTGAAAGTTTTAAAATTCTCATAGAACTTCTTTAGTTTTCTGATAATGTTTACATATTTGAGAGTCAGAGTTAGCACACAATTTCACATATAAATAGAATATTTTACATATTTCTTTGTGGGTGGAGAGAAATTATTAATTGGTCTTCAGACCAGTGTGGTTGGAGAGGTGGTAATTCCATTCTCCAGTCCACAGTCACTTTTGGAGTTCTATAAATACCAGATTTTTGAATAAAACTGAGTATTTTTCTCTTTTGAATTTACCAAACTTCTATGTACTCATTTCATGTTCAATAATAACAGCACCCTGCCTTTCCATCCATCCCTTCCACCCCTGCTGCAGACACAGCAAACCCAGAACACAGATAAAGAAACGAAAACACCTAAAGACTGAACATGCCAGCGAGAATTTCCCTTTTCCTGCGTTGCACAGATAATTCAACCCCTCCTACTCACTTTGGTGTTGGCTGTCTGCTGGGTTTCTTTCTCAGCCTGAAGGGAAACAAAAGACAAAGATGAGTCTGTCTGAGGCAACGGCAGCACTGCAGTTCCACAGGCCAGCAATTGTCTGTGTCACCGATTATTTTAGTTTTAGTGATTGTGGGTGCAAGTCCTGGCTCCTGCAGCCATGGAAACTGGATCCCTGGAAGAATCTGGAGGGAATGCCAGGTCCCATCCTTGTGCCTGCACCAGCCTGGTGCTGCACTCGCTGTGCTTGTAGTTCTCAACTTGTTCTTTAAAAAGATGTATATTTATATATGTATTCCCATATTGCCATTCAGCTCAGGTAAACCATGACAGAGAATTTCAAGGTATTCCAGATTTTTCTGTGTCTGCAGCTCCCAGTGCTCACAGACACAGAGCTGGGTGTTCTCCATGGGAATCCCACACCATCATCAGGGACGTGCTCCCATCACCTTCCTGCAGGAGGCTTGGATTTCTGGGATCCAAGGAACAACAAGAAGTCCTGGAAACACAGGGGTGGAACAGCCCTGGCTCTGCAAAGAGCAGCTCTGCAGGTGCTGGAGGTTGGTCCCACCCAGCCCAGTATTTTTGGGCATGAGGTGGGATTTCCTTTAGTACAAACATTCAGTGATGGCGCTCCTGATTGCAGCAGAATACACAAACCCAGGAGTTAAATCCCTCCCTGGCCAGGGATGTTACCTGCATCTCTTACCCCTCACCAGCAGAGCTCACACTGAAGGATGACCTGAGCTGCACAAAAACCCATCCCGGGGCCAGGCCCCAGCAGCCTGGGCAGACTTTGGGAAGTTCTCCACAGAACAGGTGAGATATTTTGCAGGTGAGATATTTTGCAGGAGCCAAGAACTCTTTTTTGGGGGTCAGCTTTGACAAACAACATCCAGAACAGGAGGTGAGAACAAGGGGGAGGATGCCACAGCTGCCTTCAGCATTAGTGCTGCAAGTGGGGGATTCACCCTTCTCTTCCAAGGGAAAATTCTATCCATCAGCACAGTTATATGCAAAATTAGCATGGAATGAAGGGCAAATATGCATGGATGGGAAGAGCATCACAAGTTTAGAGTTAGGATTTTGTAACACAGGAGCCTGAAAAACAATTTTGCCGTTAACCCACAACCAATCTAAGCTGGATTATTTTGGACGTTCACAGAAAGCCCTGTCAGAAAAGACAGTGAAGTGTTTAAACAAAATTTATCTATTTAAATCATCATTTCAAATAAAGGAATTGGTTATCTATTCATCCAATTCATACAGCATAGAAAGCATAGAGAATTTAAAGATATAAACTATATTTTAATTTTCTTCTTACTAGAAGTGGTAACTCCAGGGCCTGCCTGTCACATCCCTGCTCTGAGTTGAATTCCCACTTTTAATCAGTCTTACAAGCAAATTATTGGCACCATTTTAATCCCTCTCCTCGATTCCTAATAGGTCATAAATGATATCTCAGCTCCTGCTTCTGTATTTTGGATGTGGAAAGAAAATTGTCAAAATAAACATAGAAACAAGAAAAAACTATTTTAAAAGTGATATTTTATAAGAAAGATTTTACTGGTGTGAAAAATTTCTGCTCTTGCATTCCTTCAAGATAAGTGCTGTCATTCCAGACAAAAAACTCTTTAAACTTCCATTAAATATTCCAGGGAATTCAGTACAATTTATTGCAAGATTAATTATTGGAACAGAATCTTTAAAAATGCTAGCCAGGTTTGTTTTTTACCAGGAAGCTTTAATTCATTATGAACAAGTAAATAATATTTTAATTTTATTAAGAAATGAAGCTGACATCTCCAATTTACAGTTTAGGCAAGAACTACACACTTGAACTCATTTGAAATATTATTATTCCTTCAGCAATATGCACATGACATTTTTTTTCTCAGAAATGAGACAGTGGAAAGAACATTTTTGGTTTTAAAATGTATTAAAGGATGGCCTATGCCCATGATTATAAAGCCCCCTACTCACCAGAAATTCCACGTGGGTGTCTGGAAGGAGAATTAAATATTAATTATGTTCCTCCCCCACTGGAAGGGTCTCTGCTTCTGCATTCTCTGGGCTAAAAAGCTGCAATTCTCTGCTGTGACAAACTTCAGAGAGTGCAGAAATCCCCAAATGCAGAGCTTGAGACCCAAAGTTGTTGCTGATTTCTGGTTTTTAATATAAAAGCTCATGTCCTCTGAAACAGCCATTTGCTTGACTGTAATTTTAAGCCCTTTAAAGTACCCATCAAACCCAGATTTTTTTTCTACTCCTAACTAAAGCATGACTAAAATAAATTAGTGTTCTTGGTTGCAGGGAGAAATCCCTATTTCTGCAGGAAATTCCATGTTCCAGCCTCCTCTGTGCCGTATCAGATGTCCCAAAATGCCAATTTTAGCCAAGTTCTGGTGCACATTAATGACATAAAACCTGAACTGTGGCCGGGCTGAGCTCCAAAACCTCTGTGGTTTCAGGCTTTGTTCACCTCTGCACAATTCATTGTTTGTCAGCACCTCTGATTTTGGTTTTTAGTGGCATGGGGGCGTTTAGTCCGTGTTAGTAACGGGCAGGAATTGTTCCATGAATTGTTAGAGGAATTGTTAGAGGAATTGTTCCAGGAATTGCTTCAGAACCCCGAGCTCACAGAGGGCCCAACGAGAGGAAGGTGCAGCTCAGGATGGTTCCCATCCCCTGGCACAGAAATGCTCTCCCAGGGACTTCCAGAGCTCTGCACATCTGGCCAGATGCTGGGAAAGAACTCCAGAAATGCTCTCCCAAGGACTTCCAGAGCTCTGCACATCTGGCCAGATGCTGGGCAAGAACTCCAGAAATGCTCTCCCAAGGACTTCCAGAGCGCTGCACATCTGGCCAGATGCTGGGAAAGAACTCTCTCTCTGTGCCAGCTGTGATTTCTCAGGGTTCTGCTGCTCCTGGAGCTCCATACCAACCTTGTGCCTAAAGAGTTTGCTAAAGGTGCTGTGGCCCAGCTTTTTGGGGCTCTCTGCCTTCTTTTTCTTGGCTCCTTTGGAGGGGGATCCTGCGGCTGCCTTCGGGCCAGGCTGTCCCCCAGGGCCCTTCTCCGCCCTGGAGCCCTTGTGCACAACAGCAGGTGCAGGTGAGTGTTTGCTGCAGGTATTTGCTTTATCAAAGACATTATTCCATCGCTCACACGCGTGGCATTAAAGGAAAATATTCCCTCTTAGCCCTGGAAAAATTGTGGTTTTTTTTCCTGAGTGATTTCTCAGCTCTCCTCAGAGTTTCTTTCACACGAGCAGCAAAATAAAAAAAAAGCCAAGGCAATCCACGTGATTCCAAATTAAAGCACAACTTTCCCTTAAAATCTCCTCTAAACTGAAACCTAAATCCCATAAACATCTGCCTTTTCAAGTCATGAAGAGGCAGTTTAGGATTTATAATTTTAAAACAGGGAAATATATAAATCTTTGGACGAACTGTCAGTCTTTTTATTGCAGCATAATAGGGACTTTAAAATGTTGTATATAATGCATTATTTAGGAAAAGGGCAGTGTGAATATTCATGACATACACTGCCTAAAATATTTCAAACTTGCATTAATGTCCTTGAAATTAATTAATTAATTGTTCAAGGTCTCAGGCCTTAAAGCAGGAAGATGCCTTTGATTACCTGGCATGAAGGAGGATGAAGGATTATTCCTTATTAATTCTCACAGCAAAACTGACCCTTTTTCCAGCAAAATTCCTACAACTCCTGAGCACAGAGTGACCCAGGATCGGCTCAGGGTCTGCCACAAGAGGGTCAGGTCAGTGATTTGGGGCAGATCTTGTCCAAACAAGCTCTTGGTTTGTAGGAGCTGCCCAAGCAGGTGTGGCTGGGCTCTGAAGTGGGGTGGGCACAGAGGAAGGGACAGCCACCGAGGGACGGCCCTTGAGGTGATGCCTCAGGGTTTGGCTTTATATTTTTCACATTCTGTGCTGCTTCAGTGTGTGGGTCTGGGCTTCACATGAGGGATGCTGAGCTCTGTGCACATAGCAGAGACAAAACAATTGCTTCTCCAGCTGGGCACCAAGGACAAATGATCCAAACCTCAGCCCAGCAGCACAAACAGCGTGGGCTGGAGAGAGAAAAACAAGCAGGGTGGGACTGATGGGCTGGAGCTGGAATGGGACAATGAACTCCAAGGTGCCAATGGAGCAGAACTGATCCCAGGGAGAGCCCCGGGAGTGCTCGTGCATTTTGGGACCATTTTGGGTCATTTGGGTGCAGCCCTGGCTGGGCTCTGGTGCTGCCCAAGGTGGATCCATGGAGTGGATCCTTTGAATAAATCCCTGCTTTATTTTTTAGCTCTGCCCAGCTCTGCTCTCGCTCAGCTGCACCAGGCAGCAGAGGGATGCCACGGAGGGGGTGCCAGGCTGCTGGCAGCACACACAGCCCAGCAGCTGATCAGGGCTGCAGCCAGCACTGATAAGAGCCTGACCCTGCAGAAACAGAAGGTTCTTCCCCCCAGAGGGTGCTGGGCACTGCCCAGGCTCCCCAGAGATCGTTCCCTGCTCCAAACCTTCCAGAGCTCCAGGAGCGCTCTGGGTGGGATTCTTGGGGGTCTGTGCTGGGCCAGGGCTGGATGAACCCTTCCAGCTCCAGGATATTCCATGATTCTCTGATGTGAAGGCACAGCAGGCACCCAACCGCCCCACAGCACTCGGAAAAAATTCACTCAGCAAAGCTTTACTTTTAATACACGTCAGTTGTTTGTTGGGGACAAAAAAACAACCCCATTATTTTCTATCAGCCAAAAAATCTGCAGCTTTTCAACGTGGGAGCTGATAAACTACCCTCCTCGACATATTTCCCCTTGATTAAAGTACAAATGCCATATCAGATAAAAGAATTCCCAGTAAAAGAGAACTCCCACTTAATCTCCTGTAAGGAGTTTGCACATCCTGCAAGTCACCTGGATTTGTTTGCCCTGCCAGGTGTGCCAGCAAACCAAACCCACCCAGAATATTCGTGCCCAAATGAGAGCAGCACCAGCAGTCACCTGGCACAGGAGCAGGGGACAGAGTCAGGGAGGGAAATGGGGTTGTTTCCATCCAAACCAGATTGTTCAACACCTCTGGGAAGAGCTGCCAGTCTCCCTGAGCCAAGGCACGTTAATAACTGCATTTTCTGCATTGCTTGGAAAAGCTTCACCCTATTTGATGATTTTCAGAGTTATTCAGAATTATTGAGAACCATTTTTAGAGTTATTCAGAGTTAAATCCCCCATGTACTCACCAAGCTTGCTGCAAAGACTGAACACTGAATAGGACAAAAGAACGAAAAAATAGGAGAAAACTCAAAAATGTTGTGATTTTGGCTAATATCTGCATGGGAAAAACACTTCAGTTTTTAGGGTTTTATTCCCTTGTTTCTTAATAAAGTTTTTTTCAAGTCACAAGGAAAACTGTTCTACGAGCAAACGTAATTTTTTTGTGGACTCAACTGCAATTTTACATCAAGGACAAGTCAGAGAAACAACCGAAAGCGTCACCAATCAACACCAAGCATGTAGAAAACACAACAGATTTTGATTGTAACAGGCAGTATTAGGAATTGCACTGTTTAGTCTTTTCCTTTTCAATTTATCCCGGGGAAAAAATATTTGAAATTACTTCAAATGATGACATCAGTTGGGAAAAAAACCCGACAAAATGAAGAGGAAATCCCTGTGTGAAAAACACCTAACCACCAGTGAAAAAGGAATTGCCTACCTTATCTTCAGAATCACTTTTGGCTTCAGCTTTGCTTGAGGAGACCTTAAAAGAATTTGAGAAGAAACAGTCACTCAACCCAGCCTTTCAAAGGATGGAAAAGATAAGTTTGAAATCAGCAGGTTTTATTTGCACAAAGGGAAAATACAAATATTGCTTCCCTCAAGTGGGAAAATTAATAACGCAAATATTCCTTGAGAACAATGTAATGGCTATGATGAAAAAGACCTAGATGGAATATTTCCTGTTCAAGCTTATAATCATCTAATAAAAAATATTTTTTAGAGGTGGTACAAAAGGAATATCGAGCAGAAAGTCTTTGAGGCAGTTAAAGATCTGTATCTTTAGAAGTATCTGTAGATACAGATGTGTATTTTATCTGTATCTGTGTTGAGGTGGAAGTTTGCAGAGCAGGTGGCACTCACTTGATCATTCCACTGTTCCCCCCACACCCCTCCTCATCCTCCCAGGACAGAGAACATTTTACATTTATTTCTCCATTTTTACATGATTTATCCCAATTACCCAATGCCACGGGGGATTTTTGGAAGCGACTGAAACCCCAAGAGGAGGAAAGGAAAGGGAGAACTCACCAGTGTTCTGAGGAAGCTCATGACTGAGCCCTGTCCTGCAGCTGCCTGGGCACTGCCCTGCTCCACCTGTGCCCTGCCAGCTGCTGCAGCAGCCGGGCTCCGGTCACCTGCAGAGTCCTGCCCGAGCTCCTTTTGCCTGCACTCATCTAGCTCCTAAAAAATAAAAAGGGGGCACAGCTTGCTGGGTGCCAGCTTGCCTGATTCCCAGTGGAATGCAGAAGTGGCTTTTGTGACTTGCTGGGAGTCACAACAGCAATTCCAACCATTCCTGGCCAGCCCACGGGCAGAACAATCCAGCATTTATCCCTCTCCTGCCCCTCTCTCCTCAGACATTCAGCGCTGCTGCTGCTTTTGGGGACGTTGTTCTCAGCCACAACAAGCCCAGAGCGAGCCCCAGCCTCCACTTTTCAAGGCTGAACTTGTGAAAAATGGGAGCAAGTGCTGAGATTTTGGCCCTGCCAGCTCCGTGTCTGAGGGCACCATGCAAAGTTGGCTTCTGCTTCTCTATTTTGCCACGCCAGGAATCATTTTTATCTACCAAACACAAATGTGACACGCATTAAAAGAAGGAAAAAGGCAACAAATCAAAGTAATTCCCCTTAGCCAGACGGAGCTGCCTCTTCTCTTCATGGAATTACAATTCCCAGAGCCCCAAAAGGATTTCCAGTGATCAAACGCTCACAAGTAGATAATATTAAGGTACTTGTTTTCTGTTTAGACACCTGGAGAAGGGTTAGGTTCTAAAAATTCACTTCTTGAACCAGTTTTACAGAGTTTGGCACCTCTCATACTGAATTTACCTTTCATTTTAGCCACCTTTGCCTTGAGCCTGTATAGGAAAGCTCAACAAAAGTGTCGTGCAGGAGAGAGTGACATCAAGGGGTGCCCAAGTGATATCAAAGGTATTTTTTCCTAACCAGCCCATTATTGCTCAGTGCTTTTTTTAGTGGAAAATATTAGAATAAAAACATTTTAAAGAACCTTGCCCTGTGCTGGGTGATTAAAATACCACAATAATTGTACAATATGGATTTCTTTATGTCACCAGTGGGAGAAATAGACTTTAAATGCTGTAAAACTTCATAGGGATCAGGAGAGCTGGCAGAGGGATCACCCCAGGGCGTGGGGTGGGCAGTGCCAGCAGAACACAGGGAGTTCAAGCAGCCACTGAGATGCCAGAAGGGACCTGTGTGTCATTCCCCACCCACCCAGCTTGGCCCAGGCAGCAGCAGGGCCCTGCTGGAGCGCTCAGCAGGGTCTCACACAGCATTTTGTGCAGCTGCCAGCCCCAGGGTGGCCCCAGGAACAATCTGTGCCATGCAGGACACGCGTGGCCACGCCAGCCCAGGGTGGCACACACTGAGCTCTGGGGCCATGGAAAATGCTGGCTCTGCTCCAGGTGCTCCAGGGACAACTGAGGCAGGAGGAGGAGGAGGAGGAGGAGGAGGAGGAGGAGGAGGCCGATGTGCTGCTAAACAAAACCAGCTGCACAGCCCAAGTGCTTGGTGACATCAAGCTCTTTAGAGCTGGATGCTATCAAGAAAAAAAAAATCAACAGATTTAGTAACTTTTAGGAATTATAGACAAGCCCAAGCCCTGGCCTTGGGATGCATTTCAGGAGGGAGCTGCACACAGCTGATTCCAGCACCTCTGGCTATCCAGGACATCTCCCTGACAAAGCCACACTGAAAAGAAAGCCACTGCAGACCCTGAGGGTTGGGGCCATCCCAAAATCCCTGAACTCCAAGCTCACAGCTCTGATGTGCCCCATTTGATGTGCCCATTTGAACTCCCTGTGTTCTGCTGGCACTGCCCACCCCACGCCCTGGGGTGATCCCTCTGCCAGCTCTCCTGATCCCTCTGAAGTTTTAAAGCATTTAAAGTCTATTCCTCCCACTGGTGACATAAAGAAATCCATATTATACAATTATTGCAGTATTTAATCACCCAGCACAGGGAAAGGTTTTTGTAGAATGCTTTTATTCTAATTTTTCCCACAAAAAATGACCCTGCCCTGCTTGAGGATCCCTCTCTGTGATTCCCAAGCTGAGGCTGCTCTTTTCCACAGAGAATCACTCCAGTCTGGCCTCGGAGAGGGGCTGTGATCCATCCTGTGCTCCCATGGGAATATTCCTGCGGGAAGAGCACAGGCTGGGGCCATCAGCACAGGAATCAGGCACAGAGAACACACAGCCCCGCAGGATCACGGCTGCAGAGCCACGAAATCACCACAAAAGCCTCTGTGGCAGCTCCCTGCTCAAAGCCCTGGGGGTAAATAATGAAAGAAACCCCAGGAATAACAGAAGATCAGTATTAGGAGTTAATAGACGCTATGTAAATGTTCAATTCGTGTCTTTGAGAAGCTAAATTTGGGGGTAATAAACACCTTAAATGTACTGTAGTTTCAGTTCAGTCATCAGGAAAAAAAAAACCCCAAACATATCAAAAGAATGTATTCCTGCCAGCACTTTTGTTTGCATGAATCATGGCTCAGTGAAACATTTCAGGCATATAATTTATCTTTTCTTTGGCTTACATAGTAAATGCTTCATGAATTCATGAATTCTGCCCTTGTTTTAATTATGCTGCTCTCTGAATGTAGTTTTGTAGACCACAAAAATAAAGAGTGGCTCAGCAAACACAGAATGTTTGTGCAGCTCTTAAGCTACAACTGTGGAGCCTCTCTCTTACTCACCAGCAACGCTGTTTGTTTTGTCTTGGCACTCAGTGCAAGGAAACTTTGCTTTTAGCATTTACAGATACTACAAGTCATAATCCACAAAGAAAAAAGACAGAGAGAGAGAGAAAAGAGGAGCTGTTGGCAGCGGTATCTCGATTTTTAGTATGATTATTTGGTAACAGTTTGTAGTTACTACAGGAACAGTAATTAAATTAGGCTTGGTCATTCTCTCATCCTGCAGGAGAATTGGAACTTCAGAGGGAACAGAAGGCAACTGTGCAAGGCAGAGCCACAGCCTTTGTTTTAGGGATTGAGTTAAATTTGGCAACACATTGCAGTGTCTAGCTGCAGTGTTTTCCCCCAAAAAGGTGCTTAACTCCTCTCTGCCCCTTCTTTTCATATCTGAAAGCACCAAAGTCAAAATTATAGCCCAAAAATTCAAGCATAAGTTTAAAAATCCTCTCCCTGTGATGCAGACCTGCCTTTTCTTTACACAGTGAACCCCAAGTTTGTGATTCCTCAAAGATGTCCATGGTGCAGCTTCAAGCACACACCTAGGAGGTGCAGAGGCATTTTTGAGAACCAGACCTGTCCTCAGGAGTGTTCCTGGGTTCCCAAAAGCTGCTGGGATCCTGCAGCCACTCCCAGCCAGACCCAGCACCACCCACAGCTCAGCAGTGCCTGGGATTTCCAGGTTATTCCCAGCAGGCACCTCCAGGATGGGGATGGGTACAAGGGGCAGAACTGCCAATCAGAAGGAATTAATAAGAAATCCAGGTGTTATTGGTATAATAAAGCTTGATCTGGATGAGCAGTGCTTCCCTGTTTGAACTGGGAGAATGATTTGGATTCCCTTCTGTCCCTGATCTTGCTCTGCCTCACCTGAGCTTTCAACAGGATTGCTTGCTCCCAGCAATGTTTAACTCTGAATTTTACTTAAAACTGCTCCAAAGTGTCCTTTCCTTGGACTTTCACAGCATTCCTTCAGCAGCAGCAGCTGTGACCTTCCCCACTCTGTAAATGAAAGCAGTGTCACTGCAGTGACAGCAAAATAAGAAATGAGAATTTGGCATTTTGGTGGGAAAAGAGACAATTCCTGCAAGCCACGGAATTGTGTGTGACAGTCAAAAATATCTGCAGGAACTCGGGGTGTTGAAAAGCTTAATTCCAAGAGGCTGAACACAGAAGTGCCAGTGTGCCCTGAACAGAGGATTCATCTCAAATGATCCACCCTGTTCTGCTTAGGTGCTGAATGCTTTTATGGATTCTTTAAATGTTCTTTAAGTGTGCATCCCGAGCTGCCTGAAACACTCCTGCGGGGCAGTGAAAAATGCAACTGTTCCTCTTCAAAATGAACCCTCAGAAAAGTATTACAATGTGTAAATTTATACAAGAAATGTGATCTTCAGATTTGAGAAGGTCTACAATAGAGAAGACAAGGATTAAAAAGAAAAGAATTTTGGGGAAACTTGCATTGCTGGCAGTGTAAGCAGTGAGTATCCCATGAGTTCAGCTCAACACTACCCAAAGCATCAGTGCTCACCATCTTATTTGTAAGCCTGAACTGGCCAATAAAAGCAATTATTAAAGTGGTAATTACAGATTGGATTTTCCGTCCTGTTCCTGACATTAGACAGGGTTTCAATTTGATCACCAATTCCTGCATTCCACTTTTCCAGCAGAACTCAGATTTACACCATTATTCCCTTTCAGAGGATGGGATTTTTCTGTCATTAATTACCTGAGAATTACACCTTTGCTGATATCAGATTTGGCAGAAGTGTAAAATCTAAACTCTTATTATCTTTCAGCTCATTTGACCAGTGTGCTCTTTCAGTTAAGATCCACAATTTCTTATATCACATTTTGATCCTGTAAAATCATTTCTAATGAACCACTTTTCCTTGACTAAAACATCACAATAAGCTGGAGTACAAAAAAATCACTGCTGCCTAATATTCCTTCTTTTGATGAATAGGGTATCCAGCATCTATTGCTCAAGGAGCAGGATTATTTTAAAAATGGCACAAAACACACCAAAGAACTTTGAGAAAACCATCCAATGTCAAACATCCTAAACAAGAAACTGGTTTAGTGTCAGGTGTTTTTGCTTTCATTTGCAGCTGGCAGTTGGAGCTGTGTTGTCCAAACTTCCAGAGAATTATAAATGGAATTAAACCGGAGGTCAGGATTTAGTGATGAGACAGAACTTCACTCATGGCCACAGGTTCATCTTCCACACCTCCATCCTGGGGTGTTACTGCGGACATTTTAAGGGCAGCACTGATTCATTTCCACCTCCATCCTGGGGTGTTACCCATGGTCATTTTAAGGGCAGCACTGGTTCATTCCCACCTCCACCCTGGGGTGTTACCTGCAGTCATTGTAAGGGCAATGCTGGTTCATTCCCACCTCCATCCTGGGGTGTTACCCGTGGTCATTTTAAGGGCAACACTGGTTCGTTCCCACCACACACAGTCACCCCACTCTGCCAACATTCCCAAGAGGTTTCACCAGCAAAAATGAAATTAAGGGTGTTTTATGGAAGCACTTGCCTTTCCCAGCAGGACCCCGTTGGGCGCGCCGGCCGCGATGCTCCCATCGGGATCATCCAAGCTCTGCCTTCCCTCCTGGGGGTCACTCTGTGTCCTTCCCTTGCCCTTCTCCAGCCTGAAGATCCTGTCGAGGAGCGTCACTTGCCTGCCCTTTGGGGCGGCCACATCGTGTCCCTCAGGCGTCCCCGCGAGCTCGGCGTCCTGGCCCAGCTTGGCACGGGTTCCCTCGAGGGTTCCCTGGTGGGGCGCCTCCGTGCCCTCGCTCGGGGCTCCGTTCAGCCTGGTGGCACCGAGGGCGGCCTCTCGGGGGGCTGGTGGCACGGCGGGCTCCTCGGCACGGCCTGGCACAGCCCAGGGGAAGAAGGGCGGGGAGCGGAGCCTGGCAGCCGGCTGGGCTCTGCTGGCAGCGCTCCCGCCGCTCTGCCCGCCCGCCCGGGCACCGGGGCCGGGCTCTGCCAGAGGCACGGCTGCGACCGCTGCAACACGGGAGAGAGGAGAGAGGAGAGAGGCAATCACACAGGGGCACTGGGCTCTGCCAGCCTGCAGCACCCTGGCATCCCCTGCAACACAGGGAGAGAAGGAATCACCCATGGACACCGGGCTCTGCCAGCCTGCAGCACCCTGGCATCCCCTGCAACACGGGACAGAGGGAGAGAGGAGAGAGGCAATCACACACGGGCACCGGGCTCTGCCGGCCTGCAGCCACCCTGGCATCCCCTGCAACACAGGGAGAGAAGGAATCACCCACGGACACTGTGCTCTGCCAGCCTGCAGCACCCTGGCATCCCCTGCAACACGGGAGAGAGGAGAGAGGAGAGAGGCAATCACACACGGGCACTGGGTTCTGCCAGCCTGCAGCACCCTGGCATCCCCTGCAACACAGGGAGAGAAGGAATCACCCACGGGCACTGTGCTCTGCCAGTCTGCAGCCACCCTGGCATCCCCTGCAACACGGGAGAGAGGAGAGAGGAGAGAGGCAATCACACACAGGCACCGGGCTCTGCCGGCCTGCAGCACCCTGGCATCCCCTGCAACACGGGAGAGAGGGAGAGAAGGACAGAGGGAGAGAGGGAATCACACATGGGCACTGGGCTCTGGCGCCTGCAGCCACTGCAACACAGGGAGAAAGGGAATCACCCACAGGCACTGGGGCTGGGCCCTGCCAGCCTGCAGCTGCTCTGGCAACACGGGAGAGAAGGAGAGAGGGAGAGAGGGAATCACACACGGGCACCGGGCTCTGCCGGCCTGCAGCCACCCTGGCATCCCCTGCAACACAGGGAGAGAAGCAATCACCCACAGGCACAGGGCTCTGCCAGTCTGCAGCTGCTGCAACAGAGGGAGAGAGGGAATGATGGAATCACCCACAGGCACCAGGGTCATGCTGTGCCGGCCTGCAGGCACCCTGGCATCCCCTGCAACACAGGGAGAGAGGGAATCTCCCACGGGCACCAGCAGCTGCTCGTGCTGGGGCTGAGGGCTGCAGGGCGCACCAGGGACCCCGGTGCTGCTGCTCAGCCCCCAGAGCCCATTGCTGCCTCCCCTCACTGAAATCAGTGCAAGTTTTACCCTCTGGTCATTCTTCAGAGCTGAAATCAGTGCGAGTTTTACCCTTTGTTCATCCCCCTTGCTGAAATCAGTGTGAATCCTTACCCTCTGTTCATTCTCCTCACTGAAATCAGTGTGAATCCTACCCTCTGTTCATTCCCCTCACTGAAATCAGTGTGAATCCTACCCTCTGGTCATTCCCCTCACTGAAATCAGTGTGAGATTTACCCTCTGTTCATCCCTCAGAGCCAATTTCTGCCACCCCTCACTGAAATCAGTGCAAATTCTACCCTCTGTTCATCCCCCTCACTGAAATCAGTGCAAATTTTACCCTCTGTTCACCCCCCTCACTGAAATCAGTGCAAATTTTACCCTTTGTTCATCCCCCTCACTGAAATCAGTGTGAGTTTCACCCTCTGTTCATTCTCCAGAGCCAATTTTTGCCCCCTGCCCTCACTGAAATCAGTGTGAATTTACCCCTGCAAAAGCCCCTTGCAGCATCAAAGTCAGATTCCAGCCCTGTTTGCCACTACCCAGCCCAGTGGGCAGCAAATTAAAATCAGTGATATGCAAAAAAAAACCCCAAAACCCAATAAAACTCAAGACAGTTCTATATCAATATATCACCTGCTCCTCTGTCAAACATAAAGAAACAAAAGGAAGATCCCATTTCCTGCTGCCTGCTCTCCTCACTGCAGCTCCTACCTGCACTTCTCCTCTGCCTGTGGGTTATTTTGAGCCTGATTTGAATCCTGATAAATCACAGGTTTCATATCCTCGCATTTCTCTTTACATTTTACATTTCTTCTCTCACAAACTGTGGCTCAGAATCACATTTCCTCCCCCAAAACTCACACTGATCATTCCATGTGTACACGTGGGGCCATCACACCTCAGATGCAAAAACCCTTCTGATTTAAAAGTATATTTTATGATTTTAGGAAACAATGGTGCTTTCATAGGACAGTTGAGGTGGAAATCCCTGGTATGGGATTCACAGGCAGGAAAAGGCAGCTCCTGCTTTACACAAGACAAAAGAAACAAGAGACAAAAGAAGAATAATCTTGCTTGGATCTGTTTTGTGGCTGGGAGGCAGAACCAGAGATGAAGTGGTGTGAAGCCTCAACAAAAAGGGGTCTTGTGAGAGGTAAATCTTACAGCTCCCCCCGAGCTTCGGCTTCTCTTCCCTACTTGGACTGGAATATGGATCTGATTTCCCTGTCAGTCATCACCACATTTCAAGGATGAATTTAGATGTATTTAATTATAACTGTGGAAAACTGACAGACTCAAACTGACTTGCTGAATTAGAACAGGAAAATTGTCAGTTTCAATGTAAAATTGAAATTATTTCAAGTTATAATTGTAATAATCCAGTCAATATTATGCCTTTCACATTTTCCTTTAAGAAAAAGAAAACCCCAGATACAAAAAAACCCAAAAAACACAAAAAACTGATTGAAGCACATCTTCCACAAAGCACAGATCTTAAGTGGGAAATTATTTGAGATTAGGGAAACAGAACAATTTTAGAGCCCAGCTTTCAAAGCTACCCCTTGACTTTTCACAGCAAAATTTCCCCAAGTTTCCCACCTCCCCAGGGATTGTGGATAAGCCAAAAAACATCAGCAGGTTCTGGGCTGATGTGTCTGTGTCCATCACACTTTTCCTTGACTAAAACATCACAATAAGCTGGAGTACAAAAAATCACTGCTGCATAATATTCCTTCTTTTGATGAATAGGCTATCCAGCATCTATTGCTCAAGAAGTACGACTATTTTAAAAATGGCACAAAACACACCAAAGAACTTTGAGAAAACCATCCAGTGTCAAACCTGCACCCCACAGCTGCCAGGACCTGCCTCCCAACTCCTCCCCTTGGATCATTCTAAAGAAACCTTTGCCCCCCCCTTTTTGGGGGGTTTGGGCAAAACCCCCCAACAAAACCCGCCCCGGCCAAGCAAAAAAAATTCCAACTTCCGGGCAAAAAAGAATTTTTTTTTTTTCTTCCTGGATTCTGCTGCTGCTGTTCCTGTAAGGAAGCAGCTCCAGTGGCAGAAATCCTTGGGCAGCAAAATCCTCCTGTGATGTTTCACGAGCAGCAGTTTCAATTTCAGTGTCCTGACAGGCACAGCAAAAAGTGCAAATCACAGCTACTCCAGCACCTATTTAGACACTCAGCTGGGGCCACTGAGATCAGCTGTAGTTTCCTGAGTAATGTTTGAAAAAGAACTTCTAATTATAGTTGGAAACTTGGGAAGGAAGCAAAAATCAAAAAGCTAAAGAAAGGAGAAACAACACCCATTGGAAAATACTTGTAAGGGATGCTGAACTTCTGCTTTATGTAACAGATAACAAATGGACCACAGGAAAACTGGCTTTGGCTCAAAAATAGGGATATAAGCTCAGCACTGAGAAAACCAGCGAAGCAAGCAGCAGCTCAGGAAGCGATGGAGCTCTTTTTATCTCAAATTATCACGGGAGGAATGGGAGCCCTGGAAAATGTCACTGCCATGGGCTCTGCTGGGTGTGCGCTGTGTCAGAGAGCTCCAGCTGCTCCCAGGAAATTCTGCTCAGGCAGGGGCAGAGCAGATCCCACCAGCGCTGGGCTGGGCTGCACTGAACAGCCACAAACTGAGGGAGAAAAGCCTTGAAATTCCAGCATTTGAGTGAAAAGCGTGTGTTATTTTTGTTTTTAAAGACACACAAGTGCCATTTTTTTTCAGATTTATTCCTTGATCCAGAGGCAGAATCGCAAAGATAAGCAAAACCCCCCAAATTCTAGGCCAGGTCTTTGAGCAGATCAAAGCTGCTCATTATGCCTGAGATTAAAAGCTGCTCTGAGATGAAAATCAATATACAATTTACAGGCTGCATTTCAGACTACTTGCCTTTCAACTCTTTAACAAAAGGCAGTCACACTCCAGAAGATCTGTCTCTCTTTCCCCTTCCCGTCATCAGAGTGCGTTAAAAAGGAAATTTTGTGGCTACACAAAGTCCTTTTTCTGTAAGAACACTTTTTTCCCCCTGGAATTTGACAAATTAGACCAACATTTTTTTTCCTTGACTTAGCAAAAAATAGAGAAGCTCAATGGTTAATGGAATATCACAGAAACATGGAATGATTTGGCTTGGAAGGGACCTTCAAGCTCATCTCATTCCTCTCTTTTGAGTACAAGCCAGCCACAAATAAATATTTTGCTTAGCCATGGAATTAGAGACACACAGCACTTTTTTTCTCCCCTAGTGTTCAGATAATTGTGGAGAAAATATTTTAATGGCCATCAAGAAAACATTAAGGGCTACAAGGCAATATTTAGCACCAGGAATTCCAGCAGTGCAGGGCAGCACAACAGCCCTGAATGAATTTCTGCAGCAAATACAAATCCAAAATTACAAATCCAAAGGATAATATTATATTATTCTTGTAATAATAATAATAATAATATATAATTATCACAATAATAAGCCACTCCTCCTTCCTTAAAACCAGAAGGAACACACCAATATCCTTTTGCCATCTTGCTCTACCATTCCATGCAAATTTTGTGTTCCAAGAATCACCTTGTTTCACTAATTTAATTTGCATTGTTAAATACGTTAAAAATACGTTAAAAATACGTTAAAAATACGTTAAAAATACGTTAAAAATAAATATTAACATTATTAAAATTATTTAAAAATTATTTTAAAATAAAAAATACTTTCAAAAATACTTTAAAAACCTGCAGCTTTCCAGAAATTAATGGAAACAGGGAGAGAGTGCCAGAAGCAAAAATAGGAGCGCTCATTCTCTAAAAGCATCCCCAAAATCCTTCACATTTCAGGCCTTACAGGCACAGCAGCTGCTGCAGTCGGGATTTGCTGAATGGGATTTATCCTCTGGGACAAAGGAGCTGCATCCTCACTCAACCTTTCTCCTTTGTAATCTTTTTAATCCCTTTGTAACTCTTTGGAGGAGCAGGTCGCTGTTTCAGTCTGCCTGGAATTACCACCCAAGGCCACAGGAATTGGGAATTGTTCCTGGTTTGTGCTCCTGCTGCATTTCTGCTCGGTGCGGTGCAAATCAGAGACACAAAACTCCAATTTCGTCCTTCCTCCCTTCACCTGTTGCTCACCAAGTGCTTTTATTACTAAAAGTGCAACAAAATTCCCTTTCTTTAGCTCTGGCTCCCCCCAGTATCCTCACTTTACACCCCGAAACTGCTATTTATTGCAGTATTTTAGAAATACAACCGTGTTTTCACTGTAATAACTTCCATCACTTGTATTTCTCAAAAATCTTGATTACTGTGCACAAACATGGAGATTTCAATGGTATCTCAATGATTTTAAACTGCTTTACAAACAGGAAAAAAAGGCAAAATACAAGAAATATCAACACAGCAACGTCTAATTTTTCAACTTGCTACTTAAGCTGATTTAGCAGTTACATTAATTAGGTAATCCATTTAAGTAAAGCAGTCCCATATGCTTCATTTTAGGTATGAGGAATAAAATGTACATGTATTTTCTAGGTCTTCAGGCAGTGAAAATCATCTGGCTTTTATTTCCTCCTCAGAACTCTGCTGGTTTACACCAAAAAATAAAAAAAAACACACAGAGAGAGGCTTTGCTGGTAGGCAACTGCTTAAAGTGACTTATGGTGGGATGGCACTGGAAAATTTGGGTCATGGAGCAGAAATTCTGGGCTCTTATCAGAACCATCTGCATATCCCCACACCAGCCTTTGATTATTTTTACCTAAATTTAGATTTTTCAAGTGCCTGTGACAGACTGAGAGGGTTCTCTTAACAGCAAATCATAAAGTATTTTTCTCAGCATGGGGTTATAATGTATTTTCTTTGCTGATAAGATTGAAGAGGAAATGTTGGGGTTTATTTATTCTGAAAAGAAAAGAAACTGCAGTGCTGCTGCTCGGAAAGGCTCCAAAGCCAACAAGGGATGGAAGGAGGAATTAAAGAGGTGTGAAAAGCAAGAAGAGCCACGTGCCTGTGGATGGGAGCAACTGCCCTTGAATATATGGAGATAACTTCGAAAAACCACTTGGAAATGCGATTTTTTTAATGGTCAGGCCATGTAGTCACAGCAGGATTTTGAGGGGGGCACAGCTGGATTTTTGAGGGGGGCACAGCTGGAAGTGGGGCTCAGGGTCCTCACTGGGGTGCTGACCTGCAAAACCAGTTCCCTCTGACCCCACCCAAACTGGGCTGAAATAATGGGATTAACTCGCTCAACTAACTTCATCAACTGTTCTACACCCAGTTTATCCATAAAAGAGACAGTTTATTTAATTAGTGTGCAGGGAAAGAATGAATTACTGAGCTTCGGTCTAAATTCTCTAGAATTCGAGCTCAGGAGCTGCATTTTGTTGAACAGCTTGATTTTGTTATGAAGATCTCACTGGAGATTCTAGATGGACAGTGCTCTCTTCAGGAAGGGCTGCAACCTCCAAAATGAGAGCAGGGATGGTTTCTGTACATTAAATACTCACTAAGGCCCAGCTCAGGAGCAGAAGAGGCCAAATGTAATTCTAATTTAACAACTTCACTGCAGCTTTAATGCCTGCCCCTTTCTGCTTCTCTTTTCCCAGCCAATCACTATTTTAAAATTAAAATCAAGACCAAAAAAATCTCTATATATATTTAATTATTAATAAATAACTGCTCAGCATATGTCAAGTCAAAGCAATGCCCCTGCTCGAGAACACAGGACCAGAAAAGAGAGAACAAGATGGAAATGCTCAGATGGATAAGGATTCTATCATCAATAAGGCATTTCTACAGTTTCAGTTGTTGGAAATTGCTGCTGAAAAGATCAGAAATATGGATTCATATTTAAAAATGCAAAGCTGGTTTTTAAGACTTTATCATCCTGTGGATAGGAACACACAGCCAGGACATGGATTTTTTTTATCCCTTTCCAACACATGAACTGTTCTCTTCTTGTAAAACATTTCCTGGTGTCCCCCAGAAACCCCAAACCTCTCCAAGAGTCCATGATCCCCCTGTCCTGATGCCACTTCTTCATTTTGTCCTTTCCAGGAGCCTGAATTTGGGTTCCTTGCAGCAACAATTCCCCCAGGGCTTGTTGGGCCCACAAATTCACCAGGAATTCCCCCAGAGCCTGGGCAGAGCTCAGCACCAAAGCATCCCTGCCTGGTGATGCTCCACACAAACCCCCTCCCCTGTAAATCCATTTTTTGGGGCCCAGGGCAGGACCAAGTGCCCAGAAGTATTATCCAGCACCCAGAGAATATTGGAAATAATTTCTTATTTTTCTTTTTGTTGTATGTAAACTTTGCATCTTCTGTAGAGACGCGTTTCCAAGTCAGAGCTAGAACACGGGTTCATCCCCTAATACAAAGCCATGCAGGAATATTTCTCGTTCCTTCAGGCCAAGCCTCCCCCAGGGCACTTCCAACCCCCTTTCCCAGTCCATACCTTCACCATTCACTGCCAGGGGAGGGGTCTGGACAAACACCACGGATCCATTGGTAATACTTTCAGGAGACTCCGGGAGAGGCTGAAATAACAAACAGAGTTTTTAGGACATCAAAGGGGTGAAAACTGCTCTGGCAGCAGCCAGGGGAGGTGGGAGGGGGGTTGCTCACCTGGAAACTCTTCACTGTGCAGGTGTTGTCATCCTCAGCTTCCTCTGGCACACTCAGGTTATTCCCCATAGCTCCTGTGAGGTGCAGGAGAGAAAAACCCCAAATAAAATAACCCTTTTTCTGTCACTAACACAAATTCACCACCTAATTCTCATAAAGAGACAGCCAACGGGGCCAGGCTGTTAAAACCCCTAAAATCCCACCTGCCTTCCCAGGGCACCTGCCCCAACCCCATCATGCTCGGGGCTCACAGCTGCTCCCCAAAAATGGCACAAACCAACAAACTTTTCTTGTTGGTGGAGGCAAACTGGCTGCAGCCCCACCTGCAGCGTTCCTCGGGGCTCAGGAGTGCAGGCAGCAGCTGAGCAAGCCTAAAACCTGAGCAGGAATTACAGCAGCTTGTGTATTCTTGTTTGGGTTTTATTTCATTAAAAGCAGAGGGAAGGAAAAGAGGCAGCACGGAAAGGCATCACACATGGAAACTCTGAACTGCAGCCTGTGGATGATTTCACATAAATCTTCTGGGGGATTGTTTTGATATTAAGAGGAAAAGAAAAACAAATACATTTGGGGGATTTTCTTTTCTTCTCCCTTTATTCTAAAATGCATTTATGTGCCCTCTGATCTTACTCTGTAGATTCTTTGGGGCCAAACACTCCCTGAAAATGGAGGAAGAGCAAAGCAGACCCAAGTCAAGAGGGGAGTTCCTATTGACTTAGGATATAAATGTGTGTTTGCTGTTAAAGTACCCAAATAAACAATGAGGAGTGTCATGGTTTGTGCCAGGACACACCTCAGGCACAGGATGGAATATTTGCAGGTTTGCTTCCTTTCTCACACGTTCTGTAAAGTCTGTGTGTGAGAGAGAAGTAAATTCCTCTTTTATTTTTTTTTTTTTTTTAATTTCAATGATTTGTAGTTGATTCTCAGCCCCTGCAGCTTCCTGCTGATGCAGATTTCCTCACACCAGGTGAGTTGTCTGGAGCTGATGCAGAGCAGGGACCACAGGCTCTGATCTCTGGCAGACTTTGCTCCAGGGGAGCTCAGCCATTTCCTAAAATCCAGTTTATAATTCTCACTGAAATAAAACACACACAGCAGCCATGTGGAATTTCAAAACATCTTCACTCACAGGAACTCTCTGAAGGAAAGATGGAGATGAATAAGAGGTGCTTTTTGCTAAAAATGGGAAAACTTGCTACACAATCCCAAATGTGATCCCAAACCACCAAACTCTGTTCTCTGCTGTGCACGTGGAGCAGAGCAGCTGTGGCTGCTCCATCCCTGAAGGTGTCCAAGGGACAAAGGAAGATGTCCCTGCCATAGGACAGGATGAGCTTTAAGGTCCCTTCCACCCCAAACACTCTATGATATAGAAAATATCCCTGTGTGCTACTCTTGCCCTATTTTAAAGAAAAATAACAGGTCACTGCCACCTATAGACAAATGTGAGCAGCAGCAGTGACGATCCAAACACAGAAAATGGAACAATTTGCCAGCTGATGCCACAGCTCTGCCCTTCTCTTGCAGAGGTTGTCCCCGTGTGTGGCTCCAGAGCTGAGCAAACCAGCAGCTCCAGCCCTGCCATTCCCAAGGAATGGCTTTGCTTTTCCCAGAGTGCTCAGACCTCTGTTTATGTGGTCAGATCCATTTTTCTCTCACTTGTTATACCGTGGCTTGGAGCTGGAGTTACTCAGTGCGAAGGCAAAGAGGTTTTCTGGAAAAGAAAGGAGCTCCCCCGATGTGTTTGTGGGTTAGATAATCACAGAATTGCAGCAGAATCTGCTTGGAGCTCACCCTGCCCAGGCAGGGCCACCTGCAGCAGGTGACACAGGAACTCAGCCAGGTGAGCTTGGGGTGTCTCCAGAGAGGGAGATCCACACCCTCCCAGGGCTGTGCCACGGCTCTGCGGGAAGAACTTCCTCACTTTGGGAGAGAAAATCCCACAATTTTATAGGAGAAGATGAATTTGGAGGAATGGGTGGGGAAAAGAGATGACTCTGATACAAGAACATTCTTCAAAATGAGAGGAAAGCCCTTAAAAGTCAGGAGGAGCTGCAGTAATTCCTGTCATCAGGCTTCCTTTCTAGTACAGGTTTTCCAGCAAGTTCCAAGGATATTGTCCTTGTGGGGGTTTCCCTCAGGCCAGCTGGAATCCAGCCTGACTGGTTCCAAAAGGAACACCAGCTACCAGCTTCTACAGCTCTGAAACAATCCCTTTCCTAAATTATGCTTCACTGCTTCCATTGTAATGCAGAAAATAATTCAGAAGGAAAATAAATGTATTTTTAATTGGTTTTAATGTTATGTGAACCAAAGTGTGCCAAGTTCAAGGCTTGGGAAAATCTTCCTTTTTCACTCTCTCTCTCTTAAAAATTGTTGGTTTTGTCCTGGCAGAATGGTAAAAGCTTTGAAAATATGAGAGAAAATTACAGAAAAATCTATGATCTGCTGTGTACTCCTGAATGCATCCAAGCCTCACCTTCCTGATGTATTGACCAGCCTGGAATATTTCAACCCCAATATCTATTAATTGCAAAAGTCCACAATGAATTCCTCACTAAAACTTACCATATGTTGTATTTAATCATCATAGGAAAGAATCAATTTTCCAGCTCTTGGAACCCAGGTGAGCTTGAAGACACGGCCGTGTCCAGGTGGAAAAGGAGAATTTTCACCCCTGAAATCCCAAATCCGCCTGCAGAGTGTGCAGGCAGAGTGGAGGGAAGAAAGGGCTGCTAACAGCAGAGAGATGAGGAATTCTGCTTACCTCGAGAGCAGCTCTGCCTCGTCCTGCAGGGAGAAGCACCTCGGGGCCGGGTGGCTGCGAGCCCTGGCACGGCAGCGGGCACAGCAGGGACAGCAGCAGGGACAGCAGGAGGAAGGGCTGGCATGAGTCACCTACAGCAAACAAGGAACACCCAGCAACTCCTCAGAGCCTGCCAGGGGTGGGCATGCACCACCTGCTGTCCTCAAGGCTCTCGGGACAGTTTTGTACAATTCTTTCAGCCACTCCACGCTGGAGCCAAGTGGGAAAAGCAAAATAGTTCCAAACATTCACGCCCTGGGCTCTCGGGGAGGGGACAGCTCCACAATGCCACCAGGTGAGCACCCAGCCCCAGTCTGGCTGGGGAAAGGCTCTGCCACAAAGTTGTGCTCCCATTCTGCAGGAAAGGCCAGGACACCGTGGGGGAGAAGGCAGAGAGGTGATTTAAAGCCCAACTTGCAGGAGCTCCCAAG